CCGGCCCCAATTGATACCCAGAACAACAGGCCCTTGTGTGGGCGCCGAAGGCAGGCTCGCTCCAGCCCACGGCTGGCAGTGCAAACGCCTCTTTAAGGTCAGCGTGAAGCAGCCTTCGATCTTCCATTCGGGCTGCTTTGCAAAAATAGTCCTACAACCTGCGGGGGTGGGGGTACGAGACGCTGTTTAGAATTCAGCCCTCGAACGTTGAAGAGGCCCGGCTCCCATAAGCTGTGTCTTCTCAAGAAGGGAAGATCGATGGGGATCTGTCCTGGGCAGAGTGGGGGGCAGGAGCTTTGCTTCCTGGGACACCTCCCAGGCCCCCCTGCCCTGCACGGGGAAGGCCACCAGGAGGATACCTCCAGGATCACCCCCTGAAGCAAGGGAGCCACAGCCTGGGAAGTCACAGGCCATAGCCTCCAAAATGTCCTGGTTGGATTTGGCTGGTAGCTACCGTTTGCTGATTGCCCTCTGGTGATGTGCCCCCTCCCCACACACATGTCCATAATGAACCACAAGCCCCATGGAGCTGCTCGAGGGCCATGGAAGGCAGGAGGGAACGCACTGATCAGATCACTGTCCAGTCAAAGCTGCGCCAGAGCGTTCCCAGCCACTGTCCCAAAGCCTCGCCGCACCCCCATCAGAAACACCCTTTCACCTGGCATCTCACCACTCTCTGTCATTTCCTGAGAGGCCAGAGGACAGACATGCCTGAGCACAGGTCAGCTGGAGCCGCCCTGGGGCGCTGGGCCTGCTCACTCATGCGGTCGTGTTTACTGAGCACTGGCCCTGTGTCTCTCCTGGCGCCTGGCCGGGCGCTGCATGTTCCTGGGTCCATGGACAGCACACGAGCCACAGGGACGGTCAGGGAAGGGGGAAGCCCTTAGCAGTGACCCACGAGGCCCAGTTGGTCCAAAGCCCCCAGTCCTCTTCTCTGCTGGGCCCATGACTTGGTGGGGACGACAGTGGGGTGACTGACTATGGTCCCGCCTATTCTGCAAGCTTTGGCTTTGAGTCACAGCATACACATTGGCCTCTTCCTAATCCTTTCTCAGGCTTGTGGATAGAATTTTCTCTTTATTCTGTGAGCTTAAAAATACCCAGTTCCTCACCTTTGCAAAGTATCAGCCAGACTGTTGCCTTTGGCTCTGTGGGGGCTGCAAAGTGGACCCAGCAGCTACCTGAGCTGGCGTGGCCGTGGCTGCAGCTCTGAGCACCAGCTCCTCTCCAGCAGACGCTGAGTCCAGGGCCTGGCTGTGGCCGTGGCCTGCTACAGGCCCTGTTGGCGGTCTGGGCTGGTGGGCTGGGGGGGGTGGTCTGGGGAGGTAGTCGGGGTGGTGGTCTGGGGGGTGGTCTGAGGAGGTGGTCTGGGGTGGCGGTCTGGGGGGGCGGTCTGAGGTGGTGGTCGGAGGAGGTGGTCTGAAGTGGTGGTCTGGGGTGTTGGTCTGGGGTGGTGGTCTGGGGGGCGGTCTGGGGGGGCGGTCTGGGGCGGTGGTCGGGGGCGGCGGTGGGGGCGGCGGTCTGGGGGGTGGTCTGGGGTGGCGGTCGGGGGTGGCGGTCGGGGGAGGCGGTCGGGGGTGGCGGTCAGGACGGTGGTCTGGGGCGGTGATCGGGGGTGGTGGTCTGGAGTGGTGGTCTGGGGGGTGGTCTGAGGCAGTCTGGGGTGGTGATTGGGGGTGGTAGTCTGGGGCGGTGGTCGGGGGCGGTGGTCTGGGGCGGTGGTCTGGGGGGTGGTCTGGGGCGGTGGTCTGGGGCGGTGGTCGGGGGCGGTGGTTGGGGGGGTGGTCTGAGGTGGTGGTCGGAGGAGGTGGTCTGGGGTGCTGGTCTGTGGGGTGGTCGGGGGGGGGGGGGGGGGGGGGGGGGGGGGGGGGGGGGGGGTGGTCTGGGGGGGGGTCTGGGGGGGGGGGGGGGGGGGGGGGGGGGGGGGGGGGGGGGGGGGGGGGGGGGGGGGGGGGGGGGGGGGGGGGGTGGTCTGGGGGGGGGGTGGTCTGGGGGGGTGGTCTGGGGGGGTGGTCTGGGGGGGTGGTCTGGGGGGTGGTCTGGGGGGGTGGTCTGGGGGGTGGTCTGGGGGGTGGTCAGGGGTGGTGGTCTGGGGGGGGGGGGGGGGGGGGGGGTCTGGGGGGTGGTCTGGGGGGGTGGTCTGGGGGGGTGGGGGGTGTCGGGGGGTGGTCTGGGGGGGTGGGGGGGTGGTCGGGGGGGGGGTGGTCTGGGGGGTGGTCAGGGGTGGTGGTCTGGGGGTTGGTCTGGGGGGGGGGGGTGGTCTGGGGGTGGTCTGGGGGAGTGGTCTGGGGGGTGGTCTGGGGGGTGTCTGGGGGGGGGGGGGTGGTCTGGGGGTGGTCTGGGGGGTGGTCGGGGGGGTGGGGTGGGGGGGGGGTGGGGGGGCTGGGTGGGGTCGGGGGGGTCGGGGGGGTGGTCTGGGGGGTGGTCTGGGGGTGGTCTGGGGGAGTGGTCTGGGGGGTGGTCTGGGGGGGGGGGGGGGGGGGGGGGGGGGGGGGGGGGGGGGGGGGGGGGGGGGGGGGGGGGGGGGGGGGGGGGGGGGGGGGGGGGGGGGGGTGGGGGTGGTCTGGGGTGGTGGTCGGGAATGGTGGTCTGGGGCTATCCTAAGTGCCTGGCTTCATCACTCTGTGAAGGCCCCTGCCGACTAGCATCATGTCAACCACTAAATCTCACCGCCACTTCCTGGGAGGTGGGAGGACAACCGGCAACGAGGACGGGTCTGGGTGCCTTGAGGTCATATCAAGCCCAGGGCTCCAGGGCCAGAGGGAGGCAGCCCTCAGTCCAGCTGCACTTCTCACCACCTGCACCAGCCTCAGTTTCCCTGCCTGTAGGATGACGTGGCCACTGGGAGAGTAACGGAAAGCTTTATATGGAAAGTGCTTACACAGTGCCTGGCACAAGGCAGGAGCCCCCAGAATGGCAGGAAGATGGTAACACAGGAATGAATTTGGATCTTCTGGGCAGTTGCATTTGATCCAAGTGAGGGCCACCAAGCAGGCAGTCTCTGAGTGTCTTGGGTGGCACCAGGCTCTGCCCTAAAGGAGGTGAGGTCCCCTCCTGTGTAACACCCAGAGGCAGAGAGGTGAGGCGTGCCAGCAAGAAGCAGCTTTGGGGGCTAGACACCATCCCCCCAGTGGTCCCAGCACACGGAAGGTGCTCAGTCGGTGCCCCTGCTCTGCATCTTGCTTCACCCAGCAGGCTTCTCTAATGTCCCCGTTCCCAACCCTTCCTACCCAGGCATCGTGGGCTCCCAGGGGAGCAGCACCCATGGCTGGCAGGGCTGCCGCCAGCACACATGTGCACCTGCAAGCACAAAACAGCCGGACAGGGACAGAGTTGGGAACAGAAATGTGGGAGCAAAGAAACCCGACAGGGGATGGGGGGTGAGCGTGGGGGGTGAGGAGGAAGAGCAAGACCAGGAGGGGGCATTTTTGAGGCTGGAAATGAAACCTTGCCCATCCAATTTACATCCAATGTGAACAGGATGCAAGTCAAATGTGAAATGAAACTGCAGATTTAAAATATGCCCAGGGCTAGAAGAAATCAGAAAGTGGTGCCAGAGAACCACTGGCAAAGCCTTTGGCTGAAAAAAAATAGAGAAAGAGTATATGAAAGTTTTTTAAAAAAGAGAATGATTAAAATGTCAAAACATTGAGAAGCCCTTGGGAAACTAAGCCTTCCATTTCTCCTTCTCCTTCTCCTTCTCCTTCTTCCTCTCCTCCTCCTTCTTTATTGTTCTTTTTCTTTTTGATGAGGGTAAAAAGTGAGCTTCATTAACATGTTGCTGGCTTCCTGTGGACGGTTTTGCTGAAAAATGGGACTTCCCTCAATCAACACTTGCTGGAAATTTTGTTAAACACATAACAAACTTCCGATTACTTCTCATTTGTAGTTTAATTTTTTCAAGGTAAAGCCCCAATCAAACCTTTTGCTCATGATGTACTATGAAACGTTGGGTGTTTGAAGTGTACTTACTAAGAGTGGCCGGTTTCTGGTACCAGTTATCCTGGGTTAACAAAGGACCTCCTGAATAGACCAATTTAGTTGTAGAATCTCCAAGTTGAAGAGGAGTAAAATGTCAACTGAACTCACCACTTGAGGCTTGAATTTTATTTATTTTATTGTATTTTATTTTAGAGACAGGGTCTTGCTCTGCTGCCCAGGCTGGAGTGCAGTGACACCATCACAGCTCACTGCAACCTCGAGCTCCTGTGCTCAAGTGACGCTCCCGCCTCCGCCTCCTGAGTACCTGGGACCACACGTATGTGACACCGTTCCCGGCCTGAAGCTTGAATCTTTGCCTCCATGGCTGCCAGCAAGAGGTCGCAGATGCTCTGCCACACGCCTCCATGGCAGGAAGCTCACAGGTCTTCCAGCACCTGTTCCAACATCCCATCTCTGGAATGGCACTAACTGCTCGGAGCCAAGGGATAAAGGAGCGTTTCATAACAGAGCTGGGCTTTCCAGATCCCTAACGCAGTGCCTGCTTCCTAATCATCCCATCTCCTTTCAACCCAGACATCTCAGACCCAAAACGTGGCATTCACCCTTGTCACTGTACTTCCTTTCACTCTGTAATCTCCTCTCCTTTCTGTCCTATGGAGTGGCCCGAGGAAATTCTAAAATAATGTATTATCCACATAATGGGAACAGAGCAGACTGCCCAGGAACATGCTGATGAGTGTCACAATGGAAGGAGGTTCTAGCGGGGCACAGACTGTTGCGTCTTGTAGGAAGGAGAAGCTGCCCCCGGCTGGCACTTGGCCTGTTTCCAGAGAGAGGGGAAAGCCATCTGGGCAGGTGGCTGGGAGGGTGGGCTCCCCAGCACCGAGCTCTGAGAGTGCAGTGGCCGAGCACACACAGTGTCTGTCATCTCAACTGCCACCTGATGCTGTCTCTTGAGATTCGGATTAAGTCAAAGGATTCCTCAGAAAGAAAGCTGAAACGATGGCATTCCTGATGCTGAGGAATTTAACCCAAGCCCAAAAAACACCCAACAAATGTATTGAACATAAAGACACTTTATAAAGTATTTCACAGGGTTACCATCTTCCACCTTGGACCTCTGGAAAGATCTGTGGGGTGAGTTTTAGTCCCCATGACACACAGAACGTCCGTGAAGACTTAAAACATGCCACAGGAGGGGACGCTCAGGAGAGCCTGTGGAAAATTCCAGCAGGTAGTTCTCGAGAGCTGGTCCAGGGGTCAGCAGGGGATCTGTGTTTCCTTCTCAGGTCAGGTCCCCACCTCCCACCCCCAAACAAGAAGTTCCCCTTTCACAGACAGGAGGTGACCCTAGCAGACAGCGCAGCAGTCAGAGGTTAGACACAGCGAGCTCCCGCCCCGGACGCGAAGGCACACGGGAGAGTAAACGCAGCACCCACAAGCAATAGGGCAGGGCTTTTGTTGTTGTTGTTGGGGGTGGGGGTGAGGGGTTGTTTTCTTTTTTCCACCATCCAGGGCATTTCTGTTTTCTAAAAAGTTATGCCGGAAGGTGGAGCGGCCAGTTAACACCATCTGGGTTTTCAGCTCAAGTTCTGTGCGGCTTTATGAAGACTTCCATCTGATTAGAGAGAACACGGCATGGACCACGTAGAGCAGAGTGGCTACGTAGGAGAACACCTGGAACCAAGAGAAATGGCCGTTAATGGGTTTGCGCAGGAGGGCGAGGCACAGCGTCTGCACTGCATCCAGCCTCACACGGCGCAGGGGCGCCAGACCCAGAGAGCTTGGGCTGCCACTGCTTCTCACCCCTCACATGGACGCCCTCCCTGCTGAGCCCAGGCGCCCACCACATCCTCTCAGTACAGAGCTCCGTGTGACCTAACAACCGCCTGGACCTGGTGTGCAAGGTCAGACTCTCCACTATCGCTCAGCATCACACTGGTCTCAGCCTGAGGTCTCGGCTGACCTGAGATGGAGTCCTCAAAGGCCCCCCCAATGAAAGCATCTCAGGCAGGTAACTTTCGAGGGACAACATCCTCCCCCAGCAGTGAGACCAGCACCCTCCAGCTGTGGTCCTGGTGGCTTGGTTGAGAGATTGTAAATACCTGGGTTTGCTGGCCCTGGTGAAAGTCTCCGTGCTGCCTGGACATCCTCGCCCGATCATTATTTTGTTTTGGGTTCTTAATGTCACAGGTGTGGCTGAGGGAGCCAGACTTCATAGGGAGTGAGGGACAGCGAAGGGGAGGAGAGAGTTTGAGCTTTTGTCGAAAGGAGGGGCCTTGCTGTTGGGACCATCCAATCAGCCACTGTGGCCCCGGGAGCGATGGCCCTGCTCGCTGGGGCCTTGCTGTGTCCTCCTGAGCACTGTCTGCTCCCATCGCCCCACTCCCTGAGGCCTGCCTGCTGCCGAGCCCAATCTCTGCACCTGGTTTTGTGACCTTGGGTGGAGGTCAAGAGTTTCCAGCTTGGGCATAACATCCATTGAGGGCGGCTACGCCTCTGTGACTCCTGAAAATGCCCATCCACCCCAGCCCTCAGGGCGCCTGCTCTCCTGCCTCTACACCCGGGCAAGCCCTTTCCCTCATTGCCCGCAGGCGGCAAGGAAGCCGAATGATTGAATAACACATTTAAGAGAGCGTATCTGGGGCAGGCAGTCAGACCCCAGTGGGCAGCCCTCCGCAGACGGTGGGCGTTCCAGACCAACGAGGGCCTTTGGCAGAAGCACCTTGGAAGTCCCCAGCAGGAAGAGCGGTGGAGACTCATTTTCCAAGTGGAGTCAAGAAATGGCCCACTGGGAACACGCAGAGCTGGGCACGAATGGGCAAATTTTGGCTTCAGAAAACTCTCTCCCTAAACTGCAGCCATCGCCGCCTACCATTGTATAATCTAGAAACCTCCAGATTTCTCCAGAAATTTCCATCTCGTCCCAGTCAACTTCCACCAATCCCCGGGGTCCCTTTGGCAAAGCAGCTCTGCCACCCACAAAGGACAGAGGGAGGAGCTCAGCTTGGAACAGGCCCTGATTAGTAGCCACAGAGTGGAGGTGAGGCAGGCTGGCTGCTTCCAAAACCAGGCTGTGTGAGAGAGGGTGTGAGGTGCCTCCTTGCACCCCAGTATCCCCTGGACTGGACATGCTGCGGTTGGGCGGGTCTGGGATTGAATCCTGAGTAACGGACTTCTTTCTCTCTCACAGTCAGATGCAGTTGATACTGTGAGTTGAAAGGCGTGACTTTACATCGAACACCGTGCAGATTTCCCCTTGGTGGTTTTATTTGGGTGCATCTGCCAGCTGAGAACACTCGGTTCTCAATTGTAACCCTCCTGTCTGCATGAGCATATTCGTGTCTATCCATCTGAACTAAAAAAATGGGAACATGGTCAATCATGGGATGGATAAGTAGCTGTTGGTCTATTCCTACAAGGGAATACTACACAGTAATAAGAACAAACAACCCACATCTACACACTTGTCGCTTGAGTGAATCTCACAAACATAAGGGTGAGAGAAAGAAGCCACATGAGTCCCCACTGTATAATTCCACTTATATGAAGTTCAAAGGCAGGCGAGACTGAACAGGTGCCAGAAATCAGAATTGGGTGGTGGTGGGGCACAGTGATGGGGACAGGACTTGAGGGGATTTCTGGGAGTGGTTTATCAGGCCCTAATTCTTAGTCCAGACACCAGCCACACAGGGAGTTCGCTGTATGAAATCTGTTGAGCTGTGGGCTTGTAACTGCACGCCTCTCTGGCTGTGTGCTGCCTTTGATAAAAGGTAAAAGAGAAAAGTCGGAAGGCAGTAGAGCCTAGTGGTTCCCAACTAGAGACCCGCGCAGCAGGAAGGGGCGTTCGTTCCCCTAGCTGGGTTTTTCCATCAAGTGCTGACCCACTGACCACATCCCATCTGCATTTCGCAACCCTTGCCCACCACAGTTTTATGGAAATTATTATCAGACACTTTGCTGATGTTTGTTAAAAGAGAAGGCTTGGTTGGGATGGGGGAGGTATGAAGCGGCCTTGGGAGAGGGAGATGAGAGGGAATTGCGTGAAAAAGATGGAGGGTGGGTCACCAGCCTCCCCAGGAAGGAAGATCAGTCAGGAGCCACCTGGCCGTGCTGCTGCTTGGAAACCAGCCGTGTTGGGAGATGGGACAACGTGGGACATCACTACATTCTACCTTGGGATTTGCATAATTCATAGGTCAAGTTCTAGATATCTGACGAATGCTCTTTCTGAAACTTCTTACTTTTTAACAATACCCACAGTCAGAAGCGTGTTTTATATCGTAGACTGGTGCAAGGGCACACATGCTCAGCTCTGAAAACCACGTGATGAAACACTGTATTCTGTTACCCTGTCATTCTGATCCAGTCCATTAAGACGACAATCCACCTGGCTCCAGTGTCCCCACCCCTGGCTGAATGCTTCAATGGACGGCCGCGTGGGGAGCGTCAGGAGACCCATGTGGCCAGACTCACGGCCCCAAACCGGTGCTGAGGGTGTGGGGACTGGGCCCCCGGCCTTGATGCTGGGCCCTACGATGCCTGGTGATCTTGGGCCCGTCACCCACACTCTCTGGCCCACTTCACCTGTGAGATGGGTGTCATAATCCTGGGCTGTAGGGTTGCCGTGGATGTTGAATAAGATTGTTCACAGAGCACCTGGGTAAGGCGTTGGGCAGCTGCATCCCCTCACATGTCTGCCCTCTGCAAAGCCCACCCAGGCCTAGGGCATGCAGCCCTGGCCGGACGACTAAGCAGAGCCTTGGGCACGACACGACACCCCCTTTCTCTGGGGCTTTCCTGCTCCAGGGATGAAGGCAAGGTTTGACCTCACTCCAAAGTTACTGAGCTGAAAACAGAGGGCCTGGGCAGCCTCCACACACACCCTGCCAGCCGCGGAGCCGCCCGCTGTGGACACAGCCCCGGGTGCCCAGACTCACCACAGCAGCAATGTTTTCGTGGTAGTGCCTGTAGGTGAAGCCGTCTTGCATCGTGATGGTGGCCAGGGCCTCCAGGACCGAGGCGCTGAGGTAAAAGAGGGCAGCAGTACAGTGGTAGGCTGCGTCCTGCGGGGCAGACGGAGCGTCAGAGGGATGGGGAGAGAGAGACGGGGCCCGGATGCAGAGCTGAGGTCCCCTCCACCCCCGTCCCTTGCCTCTCCCCCTACTTCCTTTGAATCCCACCCCTCCCAACCTTGTCACGGAGGTCCCATGCCTGCCCTGCTGCACTGAATCTCACTTCACTGCCGTGGGGCCAGAGCAAGCACTTCGGATGGGACACGGGTCTCCCCTGAGGAAGGGTCAAGGGAGAGGTGGAGGAGGGGCCAGCAGCTTGGGATGTCCCAGGGAAAAGCTCGTCCTGGATCCGAGAAGTGTCGTGCATGGCCACAGTCCAGCGTGGGTGTGGCCTCACTGACCAGTGCAGGATGAGGCAGGACCATGCTGTTGCTATTGTTTTGTTTTGTTTCATTGCTTATTTTTGGCTCCTGGTATATTTAAAAGCAAAAAAGGGCTCGGCGTGGTGGCTCACGACTGTAATCCTAGAGCTTTGGGAGGTTGGTGCAGGAGGATCTCTTGAGGCCAGGACTTGAGACCAGCCTGGGAAACATAGTTAGATCCCCATTTCTACACAAAACAAGAAATCTTAGCTGGGTGTGGTGGCACATGCCTGCAGTCCCAGCTACTCAGGAGGCTGTGGCAGGACCATCACTTGAGCCTGGGAGGTTGAGGCTGCAGTGAGATGAGATTGTGCCACTGCACTCCAGCCTGGGTGACAGAATGAGACCCCCAACTCAAAATAAAGAAATAAATGAAAGCAAAAAGGTACTAAAACAGGGTTTTATGTAGTTGTGATTTGGAAGTGATTTCGAAAGTCTAAGTAGCAGAACTTTTGAGACTGGCTTGGCCAAACGGCCCCACCACCCCTACAGCAGGTAAGGGACAAGTGTCCTACATGTAAAAGTTACCTTTTCGTGGCCCTCAAGGCAGAATTTATACAGAATAACGACCAAAGGCCACTTCTGTTTCCCTGTGCTCTGTGGCAGCCCTGCTTGGAGCTGGACAGTAACCATGGCCTGACCCTCAGAGCCAGTTTCCAGAGCCCAACACCTCGGTCAGCCTCCAGGGCCCCGCTCCCCTGAGATGAAAACCGCCCTCGCGGGTGATGGGAGGGGCAGGCAGGCACCTGGTGGGTACAGGTGGTGTGGGGGCTGGGCAGCTGGTTATCCATGGAAAGGCAGTCATGCGGGAGAACAGAACAGGTCCAATGAGGGTTGGCAGTGGAGACCTTGCCTCTGCCCCTGCCTCTCCTGATTCCGCGCCGGGAGCCCTGGGCAGGCTCAGCCTTGGAACATGGTGGGGTGACGTCTATGGAGAAGTCTCACCTGGCACTGGGAAAGCCCACCCTACCGGGCCAGGGGCCAGTACTACTGCCGCCCCGCCCCCCACTACAGCCAGCAGTCGCCCTGGGCTGCACTCACCAAGGTGACCCAGGAAGTCTCTCCACCGTGGGCTCCAATTAGGTACAGGATGATCAAGGTGGTGGTGGCCACGAAGCAGAACACAGACACGAACATCACCCAGCCCTGGACCAGGGGCCAGGGCACCAGGGAGGAGGCCACCAGGATCCACACCAGGCCCCCGAAGATCTGTGGGGGAGGAGGAGGGGTGAGTTTCAGCCCAGAGGAGAGCCCCAGCCCAGGAAGGGCCCCCGACCAGCGGTCACATGGGGTGACTGGTCTGCAAAAAACACAGGAAGCAGGCAAAGAGGACAGGGCAGGCATTTTCCTGTCCAAAAATGCATCTGTTGTCCCCACAAGGCCTTGTGCTGGATCTCAATCCCAATCCCCAGCATGCCTGCTCTGAGGAACTTTTTAAACATTTTTTTTCTTGAGACAGAGTCTTGCTCTGTCACCCTGGCATGAGTACAGGGGCGTGATCTCGGCTCACTGCAACCTCTGCCTCCCGGGTTCAAGCGATTCTCATGCCTCAGCTTCCTGAGTAGCTGGGATTACAGGTGTGCGCCACCACGCCCGGCTAATTTTTCTGTTTTTAGTAGAGACGGGGTTTTGCCAGGTTGGCCAGGCTGGTCTGGAACTTCTGACCTCAGGTGATCCGCCCTCCTCGGCCTCCCAAAGTGCTGGGATTACAGGCGTGAGCCATCGCGCCCGGCCTAATTAACTTTTTAAATATGGATTTAATTTTTTACTGAACAAACATATCAGACCTGTATTCCAGGCACTATCCTACGCACTTTACAAATAATAACTCAGTGATACAGCAACCCTATGAGTAATGCTGACCCGTTTGCCAGATGAGGAAACTGAGGTAGGTGGAAGTTAAGTAACTCATCATTCCAGGAAAATACTTATGCCATTTGGTATTGTCATGAGAAGGGCTGCTATTTCTTCTGATATTCTAGCCTTCCTACTTGCTTTGATATTAAAATGTCCTTTTTTTTTTTATGCAATGGTAGTGACCAGCATATCTTTTTGGTCTTTATTTGGCAAAACAGATTAGCCACACTGTCAATAGCCCTCTGGCCTCCCTTCCTTTGTTTCCCTCTCTCTCTCTTTCCTTCCTTTCTTCTTCCCCGCCCCTCCCCTCCCCTCCCTCCCTCCCTCCCTTTCTCTCTCTCTCTCTCTCTGTCTGTCTCTCTCCCCCCCAACTCTCTCTTTCTCTTGCTCATTGTTTCTTTTTCTGGATTCAACCCCTTATATTCCCAAGTCCAGAAAGTGTTCTGACGACCAGATTTGGAGTTTGAATGGAGTAACCCAGGCCAGCCTTGTCTCCTTGGATGGCTGAGGATGGGCGTACAGTGAGGGAAGTACAGTCCTGTGGTTATCCAGAATACACCCCAGCTGAGGTCGCCAGGGTCAGTGAGCTCCACACAGTCAAAGAGGAGCAGACACGGGGGCCAGCAGCGCCCCTCAGTAGCCCAGCCCCGCTCCTCGCTGTGGCTGGACACGTACAAAACCGCTCCCCACCGCGGATGGGTACGTGCAAACCCTGCTCCTCACTGTGGACAGGCGCGTACAAACCCCCGCGGAGACTTTCTGCACTTCTCTTTCCCTTCTCCTCATCTCCCCCTGCGCCGCCCCCGCCCCCCGCTCCCGCCCCCAGAAAGAATCAGCTCAGCCTCATCCACATGTTCCGCACTTGGATGAGGACGGGGCTCGGAGCACTCTAGGCCTATGTGGAGATTCCTTTGCAGCCAAAAGCCTCCAAGGTACTACAGATGCATCTAGGGGGCTGAGGATGGGGCTGCCCTCCCAGGCCTGTGTCCCCTGTGGTTTGAATTCACATAGCCCCTTGACCCCCCACCTCCCTGAACCCGCTGACCACCTGCTGGGTTAGAGCTACCATTGTCTTCACAGGCTTCTCTGAGCTGCTTGGCTGAGAAGCAATCAGGAGAGAATTGCATTTAGGTAGAAAAATCAGTGCAATGAAGACTTTGGATTTATTAAAACCAAGTTGTCCCGAAGGAATCAGATGTGGGCATCTCTGACCAGAAAGCGTCCTCTGCTGATGAATCTTAGGCCGCCTGAAGGCACGTGGCAGGGCCGGTGGGATGCACTGGGAGCAAAATCAATTAAATAAAAATGCCCAGACCGCCATGGGATAAGATGTGTGTGTGTAGATTTCATCCACAGTTGAGTTTCAGATCCAACAGATTATGCGGCCTTTTCCATAATGGGCACTGATGGAGGGACAGGAGCACATCGGTGTAGGCAGGGCTTGGATTCAGGAGGCATGTGAGGGTGGCGTGGAGAAATGGGAAGATCCAGCGGGCACATCCAGTGGGCAGAGGGAGGCCCCGGCCTGGGAACCCCTCTCCTGAGCGCCCTTTGCCTGGCGGCTACGTGACGCTCCCAGGAGGATCAATTTAAGTTGCTTCCTTGTTCACACAGTCTCGGGGAGTCCTGCACGCCTTCTCTGCAGCGCTCGGCACAAACACAGGTGTATTGGGTTAGGGATAACTTGGGGCTTTCCCTGACCCGGTGATGGTGGGCTTGAGGTCTGCCTTGCTCACAGCTGCCTCCCTGGTGGGGACCCGGAGAAGACCTATCCAGCCATGCGTCCGTGTCCAAGTCAGCTAGCGGGACTTTGGTCTCCTGGTACCCGGGTGTGGCTAAACTGGAGCCACTTACGAACCAAATCCCAAAGGAGCAGCTTGGGTTGCACATGGTGGGGAAGAGACTCCGTTGCGGAATCCCAGTGGGACCCCGTGGGCCAGAGGCGCTTATGGGTGACCAATACGCATGCTATCGAAGAACACTGAATTTCACAGTGAGGAAACGATTTCCCCCTCCTTTACTCTCTCTGGTTTTTCTGATGAAGGCAGGAAGGGCTCAGGGTGGAGCCAGGTGTCTGGAGTTCTCTAATAGCGCGGATAGGCAACGGTAAACCGGTAAACTGGATAGTGACGTTGTTTCTATGCTTATGGTCGCAATGTCATTATTTTGGGAAAATTAACTGTAAAATACATACGAAGTGAATTAATGCACAGGTGGCACCTGGAAATGGCAAATCTGAGAAGGTGGCCCTCAGCTCCTGTCTGCAGAGTCATCTCCACTCCATTCTTCTCGTGTGGCTTGAGACGTGACTGATATGAGGAATCAAGGGCAGGAAAAGTGAGGGCAAGTCAGTACGTGGAGGGCTGGCCACAGCCTCCTGTGTGCATCTTGCTGGGCATAGCCACAGCCTGGGCTCTGAGCTTCCAGCAGCTGCGCAGAGGGCCTCGAGCTCAGGCCAGACCTCTGCCCTATTCCAGTGTGTGCTTTGACCAACCTGATGAAGACTATTTTCCAGCTCCCTGGGAAAGTCCATGCTGCCCACACTGGCACGCAGATTCCTGCTGTCTGTAGTGGGAACCCTGTCCACAGTTGTCCATAGAACAAAGTCTACTGTGGGTTTAACCCCAGCCCCTGTCCCCTGACACATCTCAGGACCCCACCCAGCCTCTGAGGGCATCACCTTGCAAGGGTGTCCTTCAAAAAATGAGGCCGACTTTTTTCCTTTGCGTGGTATATGTAGAGCGGTCTGTTTCAGAGTGAGATGGTGGGGAGAGATTATCTTTTTCTTTCCTTAAACAGCTTTATGAGCTATAATTCACAGCCCATACAATTCCCCCATTGAAACGGTATGATTCCCTGGTTTTCAGAATATTCACAGATATGCTCGTCCATCACCACAGTCAATCTTGAAACATTGTCATCACCTTGGAAAGAAATCCCATGAGCTGTGGCTTCCCTGCCCCCATTCCAAGCAACCACGAATCTACTTTCTATCTCTATAAATTCCCATATTTGGAACTTTCATATGAATGGAATCATTCAGTATATGGACTTTTGTGACTCACTTCTTTCATTTAGTACAATGTGTTCAGGTGAGAAATTCTCTCTCAAGGGGACGGATACAGAATATCTCCGCCGTCGAAGCCGCACAGTGGCCCGTTTGGACCCCACCATTCAGGGGTCCTGGGTGAGTGTGTCTCATCTCTCTGGAGCCTCCAACACAGGAGCATCTGAGGAACGGCGTTCCTAGGGACGCTCTTACACCAGCCCTTGCCTGTCCCAGAAGCATGTGAAGGTGCAGCTAGTGACAGATGTCTCAGCACAGATGACATCACAACAGCCGGTGGTTTGCTCCCAGGAGATGAGCAGTGGGGCGGTGGGCCTTCCCCTCAGCACTGCCCAGGAGGTGCCCAGGGAGGACTGCAGAGCCTGGGGTCACAGGGGCTATCTGGGGGGCGCAGGGCGGAGGAGGGTGCAGACAACCCTGAGAAGAAGAGGAGGAGATGGGGAAGGCGCAGCCGAGCCGGGAGAGATTTCATTCCCGGCCAGGTGTCTGTGGAACAGAAACAGCTGCTGCCTCAGCTGAGTCACGGCCCCTTCCCTTCGGAGCACAGACCTTTGCTGCGGTCTCGTCTGCAGAGGTGCCCTGCTGGCTCCCTCCCGGTGGCAGGGGACTCCCGTTCTCACAGGAGCTGTCCTCTGAAGTCTGCAGGACGCTGCAGCAAGTGATTCTGCCTCTTGGCCTCGGTTTCCTCTCTGCAAATGGCAACTCGCAGCCGTCTCCCCACACTGTGGGCTGGTGTGAACTGGCTGAAACTACGGATGTGAGTGTGAAGCTTCTGGCACTGAGCCCAGCACTACCAATACCTGGGAATAAGACGTCGTTCAGGCCGGGCTCAAGCCTGTAATCCCAGCACTTTGGGAGGCCGAGACGGGCGGATCACGAGGTCAGGAGATCGAGACCATCCTGGCTAACACGGTGAAATCCCGTCTCTACTAAAAAATACAAAAAACTAGCCGGGCGAGGTGGCGGGCGCCTGTAGTCCCAGCTACTCGGGAGGCTGAGGCAGGAGAATGGCGTAAACCCGGGAGGCGGAGCTTGCAGTGAGCTGAGATCCGGCCACTGCACTCCAGCCTGGGCGGCAGAGCGAGACTCTGTCTCAAAAAAAAAAAAAAAAAAACAAAAAAAAACAAAAACAAACAAACAAAAAAAGACGTCGTTCATGCAGGAGACTGACGGCTCCGTGGAAACAGACACATAAGCAGCCACTTAAGATGCAGGTGGACAATCAGCCCTGAGTGGGCAGAGCAGCCTGGACGGGTGCATAGGGTCAGTCAAGCCTTGGAGAGAG